GTCAATTTATTTGTTTGTATATATTGATAGGAAAATTCTACGGGGCCGAAAAGACACGGTGCCTAATGTTAAAACGGGAATATACATGTGGTCTGACAGGATATTGTTTAGTTTTAAGACAAGTCCTTCAACCCTATATATGGTTAATGATACTTTTCATTTAAAGTGTTCATTGCATAATGCCTATTGTTTATTATAAGGGTTCTGGTAGGTTGTTGTTTATTATTGTACTAAAATATTATGTTTTTTCTTTTTAAAAAATCATTTATATATCTTTTATTTTATTTTTACGTATTTATATATTTTGTTAAATATTTCTACATAAATTTTATATTATTAAACATAAATTATATCATTTGAAATATTTTATTAAAACAATTAAAATAAGATTACTATTGAATATACATTAATTAAAAATTAAATTACTTAAACCATATATAATATAAACAAAATTAAATTATAATAAAATGTTATTATTTATATCACAAATTATATTTTATTAGTTTGAATTTATTTAGTTTAATATAAAATATAATTTGTGATATAAAAGCATAATATTTTAGTAAAATTTAATTTTGTTAAAATTATGTTCTAAGTAATTTATTTTTTAATTAATATATATTCAATATTACTCTTGTTTTAATTGTCTTAATAAAATCTTTGATATATAATTCGTGTTTAATAATATAAACTTATGTATAAGTATTTTAAAAAATATATATAAATACATAAAAAATAAATAAAGGATATAAAAGAAATTAACAAAAAAACATAATATTTTAGTAGAATTTAATTTTGTTAAAATTATGATTTAGGTAATTTAATTTAAAATTTATATATATATATATATATATATATATATATATATATATATATATATATATATATATATATATATATATATATATATATATTCAATATTAGTATTGTTTAAATTATCTTAATAAAATTTTTCAAATGATATAGTTCATGTTTAATAATATAAAACATATGTAGAAATATTTAACAAAATATATAAATACGTAAAAATGATATAAAAGATATATAAATGATTTACCTAAAAAAAAAAAAACATAATATAACATTGGTACCCGCATGGGCAGCTCAACTGGTTACAGAGGTGAAACTTTGGAAGAATGACTAGGGATCGAGTCTCACCAGCGGCAGTGTGGGAGCAACCTCTCAAAGTGAGGGGAGTTCCTTGCGCGCATTGAGCACGGTCTAGCCTCTGTGGTTCATGTTTAGTTGAGTTACCAAGATTTGGGGTGTGAGGGCCCTTAGGGTTGGGGTTTAGCAAATTGATGGGTTAGCCCGAAGTCCAATTCAGGCCCAGTTCGATCCGGTTCATTTAGTACAATGAGCGGACTAGAGGTTATGGACCCGTGTCCAGCATGCATTGTGGACACACTAACGGTGGCACCGTTATCTTTCACTTTTTTAAAAAAAAATTCAGACCGTTTCGTTATAGGAGTATATGTTCATAATTTTATCACCTATATGTTCATAATTGTAAGTTCATAATGTCAGCGTTCTGTGTTCATAACTCCATAACTGTACATTCATATTTCCATAACTGTACATTCATAATTCCATAACTGTACATTCATAATTCAATAAATGTAAATTCATAATTTTCGAAGCTCTATGTTCACAATTTTAGAGCTCTATGTTCATAATTTTATCACTATATGTGCATATTGTAAGTTCGTAATGTCAGAGCTCTGTGTTCATAATTCTATAACTGTACATTCATAATTCTATAACTATACATTCATAATTCTATAACTGTACATTCATAATTTTTGAAACTCTATGTTCACAATTTTAGAGCTCTATGTTCATAATTGTATCACTATATGTTCATAATTGTAAATTCATAATGTCAGAGCTCTGTGTTCATAATTTCATAACTTACATTCATAATTCCATAACTGTACATTCATAATGCCACAAAAGAATAACGACGTTAACAGCGAGACAAAATCAAAATTTTGTTTAACTGGAATGCCGTGTTTTTTCTGAAAACGACGTCGTTTTGGACTCGTGTCCACAATGCATTGTAGACACGAGTCCACAACATAATTTGCACTGTTTTATAATACAGATAGGGCTTGATTTAATTTTTGGCCCATGGATCGATCCGACCCTTGTTAGAGATTATTTTAATTTTTGCCTCTAATAGAGTAATGACTCATGAGATTATCATATTAGAAACTATGATATTGATTTTATGCCTATCAAATTCTTACATGTGTATTATTTAGCTAGTTAACTATCTAACTAGTGTACTAAGTAGTAATTTCACATTCAAAAAAAAAAAAAACTCTTATTACTTAGTAGTTAGTAGCTAAAAATTGTAAACTTATTCTTATTAATGGTATTACATTATTAATTATTGATTTCTTTATTTTCTTATAATAATTGTTTAGTTAAATAGTTGAAAAGAAATATGTAAACTTGTAAAACTAATTTAGAATGAATACATAACTTAAATTAGTCGATTTATAATTTTTAATATAATTTTTTTTAGGGCTATGAATTCGGCCGGACTTTAATTTTTATTTTTGGACAGGGCCAAACCCGGTTTGAACCATAATTGGACTACACCGGCCCGATCCAAAAAATAAACGGGCTAGTGGAGAACATGGTCAGGCTGGTCCAAGCCCGTCCGTTTGACACCTCAATGACTAGAGGAGTTGAAATAAGATTGGTAACATGTAATTAGAATAATATTACCAGGGAAGTTGAAATAAGATTTGTAACTTGTAAATGTAATAATATGACCAGATGAGTTGAAATAAGTGACAAGTTCATATTTGTTTATATTTATACCACATGTATACCTCATATTTAGCCTTGTTTTGCTTATGAAGTGTCACAATGGTGTTCAAAATGATCCTAGCTTGTTTTATTCATTTGGCCAATTAGGCACAATAATTCATTATCTTTGAGTAGAAATTAAGAATTTTGGATGCATTTGGAATCAAGGGAAGCCAAGGAGAAGCTATGGAGATGGATGCAAAACTTCCAAGGGAGCATAAGAGTGGTGTTTTCAATGGTCTTGGTCATTTGGCCAAACCAAAACAAAAGAGGAGCAAAAGATCAAGGCATTGCAATTTTCCCTCATTTCGACCACTGTTTGATATTTTGAGCATATCTCCGCCGAGGAATGTCCAAATGAAGTGATTTTTGCGTCATTGAAGACTCGAAGGACTACAACTTTTGTGAAGACCATAAATCTAAATTCAAACTTTTTGAAGGTCAAACGACATAGCCAAGTGCACGGTCGTGCCTGAGGCCGTGTATTTTTGCGTGAATTCCAGTAGCCACTACCCCAAAATGCCATTTTTTGGCACGACCGTGCCACCTCTGCTCAACACCTATTTTAGTCCATTTTCACTCATTTTTACTCGATTTTTTACTCATGTTTGAACCCTAGTCATTTTCTTACACTTCAATTCCTTTCATATTTTTAAGTTAGATTATGCTTAGATTTAAGTTCCTAAACATATTTGAAGCTTGTAATCAAGGATTTAACACTTGGATTTCAAAATTTACGATCGATTTCACTAGAGAAACTTTCTTTCTCTTATCTCTTTCTTTTGCAAGATTTATGTTTATTACTTGTGCTTTTGTGTTCTTTATGCTATTGAATCATGAGTAGTTAGTTTTTGGACTTGAGTTAGGGTTGTATTATCTATCTTGATGCTTAATTTGTGATTATTTCATAAAGGGGAAGAACTCTAACCTAGGGTTCATAGGTTTGTGAAGATTTTGTGTTTATATCTTGTTAATATATGTTTGATGTACACATTCATTGGCATGTATTTAGAGGATTCCTTGCATCAACGAGAGTTGGGTGATGAATTCGAGCCACCCCTTGCATAAATTCAATTTGCTTTTATGAAAATGGGGGAAATTGGGGGTTAATAAGATGCTTTGTGTGCTTGATGGACTTGAAATTGATACGCCATGAGAATTGGGCAATTCCTTGTTCTAATCCTTGTTTATTATTCACGACAGTGGTTCGTTGACTAGGATACCTACGTGCATTCCACTTGATTCCTTGGTTAATTGTTCTCCTTAATCTCATAGGTTGTTGAAGTATCTAGAAGATAATGATCCCTAGCTTGAGCCCTATTTCTTTATTTTGTGTTTATCTTTGTGTATATGTGTTAGTCTTACCATTTCCTTAAACTTGTTGTTTGCTTAGCTTCTTGTTGATTCCCTTGTGCTAATGCCTAGTTTCTTGTAATTGCATACTGCGTGACATATCTCTCAATCCCTTGAGGACGATATTGTATCCCGTACACTCACTATCACTTATTTTTGCTACGTACATCAATAAGATTTGTATCTTGTAATTATAATAATATGACCAGAGTAGTCGAAATAAGATTTGTAACTTAATGTTCGTCAATAAACAACGAAGATTAAAAAAAAATATTAATGAGTATCACTTAAAAGATCTCAATAAGATATTTTTAATAATATATTTTGTAACATTGATTTTATTTACACAAAACATAAAGAATAATATGTGTAAATGGTAATATGCAAATTGATGTATATGTTAATGCGACTTGACTGAAGTTATTTTTAATCTAATTTTTCATAATATTAAATTTAGTATTAGTATATAAAGTTTATATATTTAGAAATTATACTAAAAGTATTATTAAACACAAAGAAATCAAATTTAAAAAGAAATAAAAAATACTAAAAAAAAAATAAACAAATAAGAAATAGTTGGTTCGACCAATGAATAATAAGTAGAACTGGGACGAAGGAAGTAATAAACATGGTCCATATCTAAGTCACAACTAGCCTTTGTCCTTCACGTTTGAACTTTTAATAAACTTCCTTTGAACTTCACTTTTAACATCTCTTCATTAATATTTTTATAGTTGTGACTTGTGATTCACCAACTGACCGTACTAGCGGTTAACATCGGGGACAAAATGGTCATAGTTTGAATTCCTTAGAACATCTCTGTAACACTGCCAGCTTTACTCGTCCCCAGTGTGCGATTCACTCTTCTGTTAAGTTTATCACTGATCTTAGTGAGAGAAACAACCATTGAAATCCATCCAAAGCAATAACAGCTTCTAGAGAGAGAGAGAGAGAGAGATACTTTGCGAATTGCGATATTTTCATCTCATTTTCTGCTATTAGAATCGGAACTGCGATCAAGAGAACAGCAAAAAAATGGCGGGCTATATAGGAGTATTAGTATCGGATCCATGGCTACAGAACCAGTTCACGCAAGTTGAGCTTCGGAGCTTAAAATCTCAGGTAATTTCTTTTCTTTTTTGCTTATTCTGGTTGAAATCTGTTTTGGATTCATTCATTGTTGTTTATGTGCATTGTGCACGATTCGTGCAGTTCATGACGATGAGGAAAGAAAGCGGAGGTTTGAAGCTGGGCGACTTGGCGGCAAAGATGTCAACACTGAAACATATCGGAGAGAATCTTACGGAGCAAGATAGAGATGCGTTTCTCAGAGATTCGTATACAAACTTGGATGAAGACGTCGATTTTGAGCTGTTTCTCAGGGTAGAACTCGTAGATTCATACAGTTCAGATACAGGGATTCTAGATTGATTTATAGAAAGATAATTGCATTCTGTTTGGTTGCGAATACAAATAGACTACAAATTTAAACGGAAAAAGAGAGAAAGAAACTTGATTCGGTTCTAAAGTTTGAACTGTCGAAACTCTTTCAATCAAAGAAGACCTATGGATTCGATTGAGTTAATCACTATGTTCTTAATGAAAGTGATCAGCTTTTTAAATCTGTTTCAGGTATATTTGAAACTCCAAGCACATGCAACAGCTCGAATGGGAAGTAATGCAAAAAATCCATCAGCATTTCTCACGTCTCCCACTTCTACTTTGCTTCACACAATTAGTGGATCTGAGAAGACATCATACGTTGCACACATAAACAACTATCTGGCTGAAGATGAATTCTTAAAAGGATACCTTCCAATAGACCCTTCAACTAATGATCTCTTTGAGGTTGCCAAGGATGGAGTTCTTATTTGGTGATCATTGGTTCATTCTTAATTTTTTGTTATTCCCTTCCGTTAATCAAACTTTGTAATCTAATATTATTTCTGTGTTTTTTTTTTTTCTCTTTATTTGATGCAGCAAACTTATAAATCTTGCTGTACCTGGAACAATTGATGAAAGGGCGATAAATATGAAGAGAATAATCAACCCCTGGGAAAGGAATGAGAATCTTACTCTAGGCCTCAACTCTGCAAAGGCAATTGGATGTACTTTGGTCAACATTGGAACTCAAGACTTCATTGAAGGAAGGGTATGTGTGACTTCACCTTGATGAAAGCTAAAGTATGGCTTGAAGCTACCTATGGTTCTTTTAGGTCTTCCATCTGTAACTGAACTGCATTTGGTTTGTTCATTGAAAATATGCCCCTGTTTCTTTTTTATTTATATACATTTATAAAAAGTTCGAGAGTTGCTTATGGGTATATCCGTATATACTTTTTTCTTTCCAACAGCAAATACATCAGTCTTGCATTAAGAATGTACAGTAACTCCTTTCTTTTATTAGCTTTTGGTCAAGAGGACTGCTGCAACCTGATGTGTTTAATTACTTACTAAATGCAAACTTTTCATGTAATAGTGGGTGATACTTGTGAAAAACAATGGTCAATATAATTTGTCTAGAAGTGAATTGAGGACATTATATAAATTCGGTTGTCAGTTTTGGCATTTTTGTTTATTCAAGGACAACATTTTGAGTCCAGTAACATTACTAATTCCCAAATTGTTTCCAGGCATGCCATATTCATTGAATATGTTTTAAAATACTTTCTTCATTTCTGGTTACTTGATTTGATATCCTTAGTTTTGGAATAGTTTCTTCCTTTCTTGGAACATCCTCATTGTTTAAAAAGTGTCTTTTTTAGCAGGCAAGTTTGGATTTTCTCTAAAGGAAAGGCAGGAAATGTTAATCTACTAGGGTTTTGAACTTTTTTTTTAAAACTTAACATGACAGCTTGCATGAGTTAAGCTTATACTCTTTAACCTGGTTGTGTTAAGAAGATCTTGTCATGTTTTTCCACATAATCAAAATGTTCTATCATTCTATTGTTCAAATCCCTCAAACCAATTTTCAACTTTATGAATATTAGATCTGCTTGTGGAATTTTGTAGTTACCTTTTAGGTTTCTTTGGTTCTTCTATACTCCTTGGATTAATACTCTTACTTTTCTTCCCCCATTTTCAGAGGCATCTTGTTCTTGGTGTGATTTCTCAAATTATTAAGGTAAGGCTTCCGAGTGACAGTCACTTTGTAATTTGAAATTTTGAATTCTTAAACTGATAGGTCCTACTTAGATACTGTGTATGGCACACTCATTAAGTAATTGATGGATTGAATTTTCAAACTAATTGTACATACATTGTTAAGTATTTTTCAACTACAAGTGATAGGAAGTACTGAAGCATTCATCAAAACTTTCTCAAACCTTACAGAAAAAGATAGCACCACAAATATAGAATGTGAACTTTAATACTTAGCATCTGAAAAGAACTTGATGTTATAATTCATGTTGTTGCAGATTCAACTACTGGCAGACCTCAATTTGAAGAAAACACCTCAACTGGTCGAGTTGGTTGATGATAGTAAGGTAAAGAAGCACTGGCTAGTTTCACTTTAGTAAGACTGATACATTAGACAGCCTGATAAGTTTTATCATGTTCAAAAATCAGGATATAGAGGAACTGATGAGCCTACCACCAGAAAAGATCTTGCTCAGATGGATGAACTTTCAATTGAAAAAGGGTGGATACAAGAAAACAGTTACGAACTTCTCGTCTGACATAAAGGTATAATTTTTTGTTCTTTCCATCTTTTATTCTACAAATTTCAAAAGTAAGTTCATGACCATTCTAAAGTTTATGAAAATTGTACCAAAATGATAGAAGACTAGAGTACTTTGATGTTGCTGAAGTTGTGCCAATCTGTTTGTATTTAATGCTCCATATTTACTATTAACATGAAGTCCAGAGTCATTGCTTTAAGGAGTGACTAATGATTTTAAAGTATAGGTTTTCTTTCTCATTTATTGTCACCTCAAAGACAAACACTAGATTTTTTTGAAGGATATATATATATATATAGAATTAATTTCACTTTTGGTCCCACGACTTTTGAATTCTTATCATTTTTGGTGCACAATTTTAAATTTTTTTAATTTTGGTGCCTAACTTTGTTATTTTTATCAGTTTTGGTCCTTCTAGTCAAATTGACGGTAAAATATTTCCGAATTTTATATTTTAGGGGCAAAATCGTCATCCCATGGAAAGATCTTCAATATTTAAACAAAAGAAAAATCATATTAAGATGAAAAAAAAGAGTTTGCCAATGGTTGAAACTATAAATCCCATAGATCTGTCTGATTTCTGCCCGTCTTTGCCATTATTCTCATCATCAAACACCTATACATATAATTTTACAGTGATTTTGTTTAGATATTGAAGATGTTTCCTTGAGATGGCGATTTTACTCCTAACAATATAAAATACTGCAACATTTCGCTGTCAATTTGGGCGAAAGGACCAAAACTGATAAAAATAACAAAGTTAGGCACCAAAATTAAAAATTTTTAAAGTTGTGCACTAAAAGTGATAGAACATCAAAAGTCGTGGGACCAAAAGTGAAATTAATTCTATATATATATATATATATATATATATATATGTCAAAGATATTTTAAGTTTACTAGACTGGTTCATTGATTAGGCAGTTGTTCATAATTTTTCCTTTATACCAATGCTTAACCTTGTTATATCACTTCTTTTCTCTACTTACAACCTCTCAAATTTCATTTAACATCCAGAAGGAAAAAACCTCAGTACTTTTGTTTTATTAAATTGGTTTGTATCAAGAACTTTTCTTTTTAAGTTCCTCCAGTTATAAATGAAAACTTGATTTCTCTTGAGGATGAGTTGCACTATCTGCTATCATTGTGTTTTACAGTTTCTAAAACCCTATGCCACTAATTTTGAGATATTGACACCTTTCTGTAGGACGCTGAGGCTTACGCTCATCTCTTAAATGTTTTAGCCCCTGAGCACAGTATTCCAGCAACCATGTCTGTGAAAGATTTTCTAGAAAGAGCTAAGTTGGTTCTTGAACATGCAGATAGAATGGGCTGCAAAAGATACTTAACTGCAAAAGATATCGTGGAAGGTTCTCCTAATCTTAACCTTGCATTTGTGGCACATATCTTCCAGCATAGGTGAGAAAACACTAAACACTTTTGGACCTTACAGCTTCAAAGCAGGTGTGATAAGTCAGATTTATTTTATATTTCCATCTCAACAGTCAACATATGGAAAGGTGCTTTCAAGCTCCTGCTGTAGAGCTTGAGCAACTCTTAAAAAAAAAAATTGAAAATTATTGCATTTCAGCTTTTGCAAATCACATATTTGAAGACTAGGAAGATAACTGTGGTTTAACTTTTTCTAGATATTCTAAATTTAACAGCTCTTTTCTTCTATACATTTTCATCACTAGTAATATATGTATCTCTATATCACTATACCATTTTCTTGTTAAAAGCTAATTTTATGAACACCATCTCCTGAGCATTAGAGCAATCCAAATCTTGCTGATAAAAGATTAAATTGAGTTGTTATTTGCAAGTTTATGTGTTATTTCACACTGACAATAATAGTAAACAATTCATATTATTTCTTCTTACCTTTAACATATGATTTTCGTCCTGTCAAAAAGCTGACAGTGAAGTGTTCTTCTGTAGGAATGGACTTTCAACACAAACAAAGCAGATTGATTTTCTTGAAATGACTCCTGATGATGCTCAAATGTCCAGAGAAGAGAGAGCATTTCGATTTTGGATCAACAGTCTTGGAAATTCTTTTATGATAGATAATGTCTTTGAAGATCTTAGAAATGGGTAAGTGCAATTGTGGTATTGATATCAAGAAACAAAAAAATACCATGCCAATGAACCAATGTTTGTACTTGAGCCAACTGTTTCAGAAAGAGTGAAAATTAAGAACTTGAAGTAAAAATTAACTTCTATTTTCTGCAGATGGGTGCTTCTGCAAACACTTGACAAGGTGTCCCCAGGAATTGTTAACTGGAAGATTGCAACTAAGCCTCCAATTAAGATGCCTTTTAGAAAAGTGGAAAATTGCAACCAAGTTGTCAAGATTGGGAAACAATTGAAGTTTTCCCTAGTTAACATTGCTGGGAATGACATTGTACAAGGAAATAAGAAATTAACATTAGGTATGACTACCATCATGTTTGTTGTATTTTTTGTAGTATAAAAAGCATCAATAAAGCATTTTAACCTGAATAAGTTTGTTCTTGAACCTCCTGTTTTCAGCTTACTTGTGGCAGTTAATGCGGTTCAATATGCTTCAGCTTTTAAAGAATTTGAGGTCTCATTCCCTTGGAAAGGAAATCACTGATGCAGACATTTTAGACTGGGCTAACAGCCAAGTGAAAAGTTCTGGAAGGCATGGCCATATGGCTAGCTTTAAGGTATCTTTTCCAAAGAGTTCTTTTAGATTCACCTTGTAGATATTATGAGGTGAAAAAAGCTGTTCTGATGAGTATTCAGATGAGTTTTCCATCCAGTTTTTTGCAGTTACCATGGTTAACATAACATTTCTTGATTTGCTTCATCCTAGGGACTAATTAAGGTTATTTTACAGGATAAAAGGCTATCAGATGGTGTCTTTTTCCTTGAGCTGCTTAGCGCAGTATATCCTCGAGCTGTCAACTGGAGTCTAGTTACAAAAGGAGAAACTGGTATGTTTGTTTTTAATTTTAATCAGATCAATGGCCTATTTTCAATATTTTTCCTGATTTATCTTAAAATATTGTTAAGTCCTTTAATTTGCCGTGCTTTTTCTACTTTTCAATATAGACATTTTTCCTTGTTGAGTAAATGTCTTCTAAATAATGCTGTTAGTTTGTGTAGGGGTGCATTCTTTGTTGTAGTGTTTAATTTGACCTCTTTTTTACTTCTTCTTCTTTTTTTTTTTTTTTTTTTTTTTTTTTTGGTAATTAATTTCTTAAAAAAACTTTGGGTGATGTAGAGGAGGAGAAAAAAATGAATGCAACCTACATCATTAGTGTGGCAAGGAAGCTCGGATGCTCTATCTTTATACTGCCTGAAGATTTAATTGAGGTAATACTTTCTGATCAGTTTGCCCTTTATTATTATGCTACATTGCTACTAGCGGAAATGTGGAATATTGTATATTGTGTGATTGAATAAATACTTAATAAGAAAAAGAGAAAAGTGCTTCGAACTTTAATTGGAAAGTTAATTAACTCCTTAAATTCTTTAAAGGTATTTTTTTTTTTGAAAATAAATTCTTTAAAGGTATAATTAAACTCATCAACAATTTATTTTGATACAATGAAATTCAAAAACTGGTTAATGATCTGCTATCACAAGTTATTAGAATTCCGATCACACTCCGACGAAATTTCAAGTAAAAAAGTGACCGGCGACGGCGAACGGTTGCCAGTAACGGAGGGTGGCTAGATCCCTAATGACATGTGATAGCATATCATTAATCGGTTTCGAGCTTTATTGCATCAAAATAAATTGTTAATGAGTGTGATTGCACTTTTAGGGTGTGTTTGGTTCGCACATAGGAATCGAAATCGGAATGGGTATCAAATACTTGGTAATAGTAATGGGTTTTGGTGAAAATATTTAACATGTTTGGTAGTAAGGGTGGAATGAGAATGGTTACTAATAATAGTGCTTGAGAATGAATAAAGGAATGAAACCTTTATTTTTTTTGGATATGAGTTTTTCAATTGATGGGGTATTCGAAACCCATTGTAGTATTCTAAAAACCTATCAATCAAACAATAACAATCACTTCTATACCCATTCCTATGGGCAAAACCCACCAACCAAACACACCCTTAAAAAGTTTAAAGAGTTAATTGACTTTTTGGACTTTTTAGCTAAAGTTGGAGCGTATATTTAACCATTTTTCCATAAGACAAATACTAAAACTATAAAGATTAAACACAATAGAAATAATTATTAATTAATACATCATTAACAAAGAAAAAAATATAATTATGGGAAAAAATTGTATGAGTGTTTGGTTTAAGAAATATTTTAAGATAATATAACACTAAAGGAAATATTTTTTTTTTTTGAATTATGCGAAATAATATGAACCAAACACCTCTTAAGTGTAGGAAAAGATAAACACACTACAAAAGTTAGGCAAATTTTTCTATGACCTCGTCTAACATGTCTCAAGAGACAGGTCAAGTCACAAAAATTTGGGATGAATTTATAAATATTATTTTTTTACAAACTATCTATTACAATTTTGCTATAAAGTATTACATTTATACTATAAAATATTATATATATATATATATATATATATATATATATATATATATATATATATATATATATAAAGATGAGTTCTGGTGCGGAGATAGCTTTCCGTGCGATTGTGCGGTAAACATAAAATGACGCACCTTAAACATTCAAATGACGCACCTTAAGCATTCAAATGGCGCACCTTAAGCACACAAACAAGGCACCTTAAGAACACACACACCATGCACCTAAAGTTTTAAAATTGCGCACACAAATCACGCACCTTAAGCACACAAACAAAACACCTTAAGAACACAAACCACGCACCTAAAGTTTTAAAATGGCGCAGCTTAAGCATACAAATCACGCACCGTAAGAAAGAAAATTACGCACCTTAAAAAGGAAAACCACACACCTAAAGTTTTAGCCCAACGCACCTTTAAGTTTCAACAACTGATGCACCTTAAGCACACAAACCACGCACCTTAAGAAGGAAAACCACGCATCTAAAGCTTTATATCGACGCACTTAAGTTTTCAACACCTGACGCACCTTAAGCCACACAATACAAAAACCACTCACGTTAAGCACAAAACTCACGCACCTTAAGAAAGAAAATCACGCACCTTAAATTTGACCTAGATGCAAAAAGACCAAATTACCACCGTGTATCTTTTTAATCAGAGTTAATTTAGGCAAGTAATGGCTCAGATTTAACTGCACAATCGCACCTGAGATGGCCAATCGCATCACTGTTAATTCTGGACGTTAATTTAGGCAAGTAATAGCTCAGATTTAACCGCACAACCTCACCTGAGATAACCAATCGCATGGGAAAATATATATATATATATATATATATATATATATATATATATATATATATATATATATATATATATATATATATATATATATGGGCCGTTGATCAAATCTAGATCAACGACTCAAATCAATGAAAATTAAAAACAAAACGTGCATCATGCCAACATGCATGCAAATGATCAACTGTCTCAAACTGATGCACTTTAAGATATAAAACTACGCATCTTAAGTTATAAAACTACACACCTTAAGTTTTAAACTGATGCACCTTAAACTAGAAAAGTGACGACCTTAAGCTACAAAACGACGCACCTTAACCTTAAAATTTAAGCACTTTAAGTTTTAAATTGATGCACCTTAAACTTGAAAGTAACGCACATTAAGCTTTAAACATACGCACCTCAAGCTATAAAACTCCGCACATTAACCTTAAAACTTAAGCACCTGAAGTTTTAAACTGATGCACGTTAAGCTAAAAAGTGATGCACCTTAAACTTTAAACATACGCACCTTAAGCTATGAAACTACACAACTTAAGCTATGAAACTACACACCTTAAACTTTAAACATACGCACCTTAAGTTTTGAACTTATGCAAAATTACTATAATGCCACTGCATTTTTTTTAAAAAAGTTTTCTTCCATCTGGATTGTTGATTTTGGCTAGATCATGGAGTGAGACTAAATCACATCTTTCACCTACAACCTACTAATATAAGGCTTAAAGTATTAATTATATTGGCAATTTTGCTATGTAATGTCATTCTATTTTCTGCAAATTTTCTATTTATAATTTTTCTATAAAGTACTGCATGTATGCTATAAAGTATTGATGATATCTGCAATTATGTTATGTAATTACTTTATTCTCTACAAAATAAGTATTACATTTATGCTATAAAACATTGTATATAAGGCTTAAAAATATTTGCAATTATGTTATATTATTATTTTATTTTCTGTAAATTATCTATTGCAGTTTTGTTATAAAGTGCTATATTTTTTTTATATAAATATTATATATATATAGAAAGCTTAAAGTATTAGTTATATATGCAATTATTTAATATTTTAATAATTTGAGGGGGAAAAAGAAGGCTAACATTAAAAAAAAAAAAAAAAAAAAAAATAGTATACAAAAATATAAGCACAAATATACAAGCTTTGCATTGACTTCTTTTATAATTATATGTATATATTTATAGAGTTAATTCCCAAAATGATCTTTCGACTATGGCCTTTTCTTAAATGGGTCCTTTGATTTTTAATTTCTCTAAAGTGGTCCTTCAACTTTTGAATTTTAAGTTAAAATGATCTTCCATTAGCTTTGACGTTAAGTTGGTATTAAAATGAAAGGTAAAATCTAAAATTTAAATTTTGCACTCCAATTTAAATCAATATGTGATTCCTTTCAGCAGTATGTGCACATATTTCTTCAAATTAAATTCTTTCTCTCCTAAATCTGCAATCAAAATGTGAGATAATCAACTAGAATGCCAAAAAAGTTCATCTTCAACTTCATCCACAAACTTCCCAAGGCACAGATTTTTGGCCTTCTAGTTGATTATCCCACATTTTGATTACAGATTTAGGAGAACAAAAACCTAATTGAAGAAATATGTGCGCAGATTGTTAAAAGGAATCACATATTGCTTTAAATTGGAGTGCAAAACTTAAATTTCCAATTTTACCCTTCATTTTAACATCAACTTAACGCCAAAGCTAATCGATGACCATTTTGGCTTAAAATTCAAAAGTCAAAGAATCACTTTGAAAAAATTAAAAGTTAAGGGACCAATTTGAAAAAAAGACCATAATCAGAGGATGATTTTGAAAATTAACTCTATATTTATATTAGATATATCATCACCCAATACTAGCCACACTGGGAATATCATTGCGACTATTCATGTAATTTCATCATTGTTAATGTATACGTAAATAATAATAATACTTACACATAATAATTATAATGCTTATGTAAAAAAAAAAAAAAAAAAAAATTATAATGCTTACCTCATATAACTTTATAATTTTTATTTACATTGATAATTTTGATACTCGTTCATTACCGTGGAAAGACCTATCAAGTGATCAAACTAAAAAAATAGCGCGCGCGCCCACACAAAAAAATCTAAACTACCTTTTATAGTACATATTCTTGTACTCTTGCATGGCCTAATTAAAGAAAGGATTATATATTTTGGGATACGAAATCTATCTTCCAATAGTTTTGTACTCTGTAACATATAAGTGCATATGAAACTTCAAGAAAATATGCAAATGGAATATCTATAAATGTTAACATAGTATGGTCACTGTATACAATCTACAAAATAAACACAAATTCTTATTAATCACACTACCTAGATAAAGAAAGGACAAATGAACTTATATTTATATGGATAAATAGAACTTTTTTTTGAATCAGACATAATTCTTTACAACATAGTTTCTGTTTTATACTTTATCATTCGATTTGAGTCCAAATAATTAATGCCCACCACCAGATTCGATCTTGTGACCATTCATTTGGAATGATAACAAATGTGCCATCACACTACATAATAGTTGGCAGGCTTTCAACAAACTGCTCTAAAAATTAAATTAAAATCTCAATATCTTACCAACTTTAGTACTATATCTAACAATAATATAAAATATAAACGGGAATGCATGTTTAAATTTGGCAGGTAAACCAGAAGATGATTCTTACATTGACAGCAAGTATAATGTATTGGCACATGAAACAACAGCCTGTAGAGGATCGAACAAGTACTTCATCAGATGGGGAGATCAATAGCTTGCCTGAGACAATCTCAACCGCAGATGATTCTGCCTCAGAGTCTTCAGAGTAGAACAACAACACATACATATATATCCTTTGCAACATTATCTATCTGCCTAAACTCTATTCTCTGCTTCAGTTTTTATTTTTGTTTTACACTTACTATTTTGGGTGTCAATTTTTTGAAAAGCTTGAAAACCATATATTACTAGGTTGCATGAATATGTATAGTGGATGGTGTAGCCTTGGATTGCAATTTATTACAGAGGATTATTTTTCACCCAATTCAAAAAAAAAAAAAAAAAGCATACGAACACTTGTAAGTTGTAAATGATGAAGAATTTGATTTGTTTGTTGGTAAGAGAAGCCAATTATGTACGGCTGGTTCTATCGTGCTCCCCATGTGGTAAGGATTTAGACAAAATTGTATGGCATGTGAAACATGTATCATGTAATATACTATTCATAAGATACCACCAAATTGAGACCCAACATTAAGTATTATTGCGTGGCAATCATTTATAAAATGCGTGAAACAAAGTTTGTCTTTAATTCAGCGACAGTGTGGGGATTATGTCTAAAGTGAGCAGATCATTTGTGCGCACCGATATTTGATCCTGTCTGCTGAGCTATTGGGTCATCGTGATTTATATCTTTTCAAATGTTCTGTCGGACCGAAGTGTGGGAACCCTTAAGGTTGGAGATTTAACATTTTAGAAGGAAAAAGTTTGTCTTAGCATTTATTACTATAATCAATGTTGAAACCAGAAAAAGGAGCCATGAAGTCATGCACTATTTTGGTTTTCTTATGCAATATGGTTTATACATTTCCTACTCCCACCAACCTAACCAATACAAGTTAATATATACCCAATAACACTCAACCGTATTTAAACTTAAAAGCAAACTCACAACACAGAATGGAGACAACGATGCAAGAAAGGAAAACATTTCTTTATTCAACATATTTAATTGTTTTCCTAAACTACAAAATGAGAATTCGTTAACAACGACGTTATTGGATCCTTATTATAAACAAACAAACAAAATCCAACAACCTTTCCCCAAAATTCACCGTATGACCACATACACAACAATGCATCATTCTATTAGAGGGTGTGCATTGGATAAACTCTGCCTTGTAACCCTAACTGGCAAATGACCACAATGGATAAATCAGTTTAAGTTGTTTATACTGATCGGCTCAAACCAAGAGGACTGCACATTATGTATGCATATGTACAAGGAATGCCTGAAAGTCCATGACTTTTTATTTTTTTTTTCATATAGAAGAAAGAAAACAATAAAGTTTAAAGAATGGGGCAAAACCACGCCCACAATATCGTCAAAAAGTTTATGATGACTTTGGTTTAGCTAGCTAGCTATCATGCAACGCAACATGTATGTATATTCAATTCATATATTCTACTACAAAACAGCCCTGCATGTTGTAATGTTCTTCTGATCTTCATCGAGCTTCTATTGGCCCCGTATAGACGTCTCTGCTCATAAATAAACACCTTAGAATCAATTTCAATTCCCTATCTACTACTCAATGATATACGAAAATGGAAGTTTTTTTTTTTTTTTCTTTTTTTGTTTTTGAAAAAAAAAAGTTGGAAATTATGAAAGATACTGCTGTAATCCCATTATTATATTGTTTAGTGGCAAATTATTGTGTGGACCATAGTCCACACATGCTGTGTGAACTATGAATGTAATATACATTTTTAATATACTAAAAGTACATTATTTGTGTATTGAATGTACATTATTTTATAATATATAAAAAATTATGTGCTTTCAAATAATGTACTTTATGTATACAATAATGTACTTTTATTATATATATTAAAAATGTACTTTTTATTTATGATTCACACAAATGTGTAGACCATGGTCCATCGAAAAATGATTGGTTTTTAGTGTTTCAATTAAAGAAATTGGAGTGAAAATGTGAGATACCATATGCCAACTATACTGAGTTGACATCTGGGGTACCATTTTAAATGAGTGATTATAGTATAGGTTCGAACTTCAATGGTGGGGCTTATATTTTTTGGACTGATCACAAATGTTTGATAAATAAATCAGGAGTATTTCACAACAAAAAAAAAAAAAAAAAAAAAAAAAAAAAAAAAAGGGGGTGAGATGCCATAGATACAAATAGATTAGAGATAAAAATGAAAGAATTGAAAGCAGAATTGAAGAAGATGAGAGTAGATTGAGAAAGCATGCATATATGCACAAACCTAAGAATCAAGCAAAAGAAAACGATCATCATCATCATCATCATCATCATGGGCAATTGGAAGGGGGATAAGATGTTCAGGATGAACAACAATGGCGGTACAATCTCTAGGAGTCTCAAACGAGGACAAAGAGAACTGCTTGGACACCACTCCCACATCAAAATAAATCACCCCAGAACTGGGCACATCCACCCGGATTTCCTTAACAGGGAACCACAAGAACAAATCCTGCGCCGCAATCCCGCCCAGCTCCTCGATCTGCCCAAACCTCAAAGTCCCCGAAACCTCCATATCAAAGTGGATCTCGTCCTCGAACTTCGCATTACACGCCTGCCCTAAATGCACCTCGAACCGCCCATAACTATCCAGGCTATAGTTCGTCACGCCGCTGGGCAGCAGCCCCATCGGCAGCCCGTTGTCTCTCAGAACTTGGTATATAGACACCGTCTGAGATGCCGCCATGGCCAAGAGAGCCAAGAAAAGAGAACACCGCAGCAGCAGCAGCATGGCTAGGCTAATACAACTGCCTTGATTAGCTTTGGGTTTGATGGGAAGAGAGAATAAAGAAATTTGGTTTAGGGTTTAAGGTGATTTGAAGGGAGAGGAGGGAATGGTTGAAAGCTTGAAAGATGGGAGTTAGTAGTTAGATGGAATTGAAGATCAGAGAGAGCATTGGCAGGGCAGCAGGCAATTGCCATTTGCCAGCACAAATACACAAATTATCGGTGGTGTGGGCCCGGTGGGGTAGGGGTGGTGGGGCCTTTACCAAACCAATTATCCGGTACTGGTCCACACAAACTGTATGAACTACACTATCAAATAATGTATATTCAGTACACAACAATCTATTCTTAGTATGGTAAAATGTACATTGTATTCAAAGAAAAATATATTATTTGAGTACTACAAGTATAGGCCTTGTTTGGTAAATGGCTGTTAGTTGTTAGCTGATGGGTTAATTAGATTGTATACCTAGTTGATAACATTAGCTGATTGTAGAAATGTGTTTGGTAAATTAGCTGTTAGCTGATAGCTGTTTCGTATAATTTCTTTTCTCAGAAAGCTAATTGGAAAAGTTGTTTTGAGTAACTTTTTGAATTTTAGCATTTTAGAGTACAAAGTTAATTAACCAAACACTTATATTTGATTTTTAAACTAAGTCAAACAACTAATAATGGTCAAATAAGTCAAAATTGAACTAGAGGCTAATTATTTTACCAAACATGGTCATATTATTTTATATAATGTACATTCACTACACAAATAATGTACTTTTAGTATATTAAAAATGTACTTTTTGTTATGATCAACACAATAATTTGCCACGCTTTCGATCACTCCATCCCATTTTAAGTGTCTATCATACCAAACCTGATTGAAAGTATTTACAATTTAAATTTTTTCATAATATTAAGTTTAATCTTAATATATAAAATTTAAATATTTAAAAATTATATTAAAAATATTTTTAACTACAAAAAATTACTTTAAAAAAATATAGAATAAAAAGATAATTTGACCAATGAATAATAAATATGACAAGTAATTAAAAAAAGAGACACATGAAATAGTAAAATGATGGTCAATTCAAATATTTTAATATTTCAAGAATAATGTTAGTAAAAATGTATATTTCTTCAGTATAAAAAATATTATTATCCTTCTTAATTTTGGATGTCTTATACAAACTACTGTTCCCATAAGAAAAAAAAATAATTTACAGTTTATTTTTTATAAAAAGAATAGATATATATTACTTAATTAATATATTAAATACATTTTAAAAAATTTGCGTGTCTAGTCAAAGTAAATAATATTTTTTTTGGGTGAAAGGAATAAAAAAAAAAATAAATAAATAAATAAATAAAAGAGGCATTAGGAGAAATGGCATGTGGATGGTGGGGTAATTATAAAGCTGGAGTGATGGTAATCATGATTGTGTCTGTAAAACAATTGTACATATCATCATGCTATATGTTCCATGGTACCACTTAGCTGCAATTCACTCATGCAATTGTATTACCGTTTCTATTTATACTTTTTATGTTAATATTAAAAACAGAAACCATATTACAATTTTTCTTTTATTTCCTCCATTTTCTTTGATAAAATAATAATAATAAATTTTCTTCAAATAATTCCCAATTTCAATGTTAATTTGGTGTACTCAATTGGGCTACCCAACTACTCTACGCGTATACAATAATAAAGTATTTGATAATTATAAGAGAAAATATAATATTTTTAAATTAAACTGTAAAAGTATTACATTTTTTCTTTAAAAATATTATCATTCCTCTTATAAATAATAAACACTATATAAGTAGCAGGGCCGGCCCTGGGCAAGTCTGCCGGCAAATTATGCTGTGCATCCGTATGCACCAAGCATGGTGCATACGGATGCAAAAACGACGTCGTTTTATAAAAACGCGCGTCTCCCCTTAAAAAAAAAAAATTAGGTTCGAAACTATAATTCCATAATCGATGAACTATAATTCCATAATCGATGAACTATAATTCCATAATTGATGAACTATAATTCCATAATCTAATCTATGAACTAAAATTTTCAGAATGAATGAACTAAAATTCCAGAATCTATGAACTAAAATTTCAGAATCGATGAACTATAATTCCAGAATCGATGAACTATAATTCCATAATCGATGAACTATAATTCCATAATCCATGAACTAAAATTCCATAATGAATGAACAAAATAATGTTGTTACTAGGAATCGAACCTGAATTTTTTTTAAAAGGGGAGACGCGCGTTTTTAATAAAACGACGTCGTTTTTGCATCTGTATGCACCATGCATGGTGCATACAGATGCACAGCATAACTATTCAAGTCTGCCCAGGGCCGCTGCACAGGGCCCCCAAATTTTGGGGGCCCCTAATTTTTTTTTTTTTTTAAAAAAATGCCATATATATATCGCAACTGCTGAATGCAAAGACCTTAAATCTCTAATATAGCTGCAGAGTGCGTTCGAACAAAGCATAAAAGCATTGAAGCAAGTAGCGAAAAACTAATAACTCAAAAAACACAAAGCATACCCTAAATCCCTAATCTAGTGGTACTGTGGTAGAGTGCAGTCTATACAGACAGAGAGAGTGAGAGACTACAAGTCTACTGCCTACAACAATTTGAATTTACCTAGGTAATTGAAACAATTCTAATATTTAATTTGAGTTACTGTAGTGCTAGATTAGGATTTTTTTTTTTAATAATTGCTAGATTAGGATTTAGGTAAATTAAATTTGGATATTATCAAATTTCAATTGTATTTTTTGCTATTTGATTTTTTTTTTTTTTTGTATTCTTTGCTGTAGTAATTTAATTATTTAAATATTTAATTTTGTTGTTGATTTGTATTCTTAATTTTTTGCTGTTTGACGTCTTTTAGGCTGCACAATTTAGTGAATTGACGCAAAAACGACAGACTCAGTTCGTGTGCTTCTAATTCTTCAATTCTTTTTTTATCATACAAACTCTCAAGTTCTTCAATTCTCTTGACAGGTAATTAAAATTACGTATTGTTTCATAATTCTTGTTTATTGTTTATTTAAATGACTTAATTCTGATTTCAGAATAATATATTCCAGAATTCGTTTTTTGATTAAATATTTATTGATAGAGTTTCTAAATAAATTTTTATTTTTTTTCTTAGAATTTTATGTCTTCTAGAAAATATTCATCTGAGAAGCGTAAAAAAGAAAAGAAGGATTGAGCAACTAACTCAATCTCAAAAGGGCATTCAAAAAAAAAAAAAAAAACTCAATCTCAAAAGGAATCTCTTGAAAAATTTATTAAAAAAAACTCAAATAGATGAGCAAAAAGATGATGCCAATGAAAAACTGTTAGATGCTAATCTTCATATAGAAGATCGAGATGATTGTGAGACTGGAAAAAAATTAAATGATAGTGCAACGATGATAGGTATCACTGTGACAATGAAAATAATAAGAATGTTGATAGTTGTTTAGATGATTTTGCGTCTAAGTGTGCACGGCGCATGTCACTTTTTAAATGATAATTTAGATGTATTTATTATACAATATTTATGTTTTGAATTTTTGACACAACTATTATTTATATAATAAAAATCACTTGAAAAAGGGAGCCCAAATTAAGATATTGTACCGGGCCCCAAATTTTATTGGAACGGCCCTGATAAGTAGTATTACATTTTCATCTCGACCCGACTCGTCTCACAAACAAGGATCCGTGAGACGGTCTAACACAAGTTTTTAGCTTACAATTTTTATATATTTCTGATTTTTCTTTAATAAAATCATGATATGTTATAATAATAACTTTTCTTCGAATAAATTGGATTTAGAATGTTAATTTGGTGTCCTCAATTGGGGCCACCCCAACTACTCCTACCTATACTACTAAATCTTTACTTTTTCTTCACTTTTATACAATGTTGATGACACATAAAATGATGAGTATTACCCAATTAAGTTGTCACATTTATCCTGTATGTAATCTCGATCAAAGGGTTGTCATTCGTAGGTCAGATGTTGATTTGTCACTTTATGCATTATTTCTTTTATTAACCAATTTCTACTTTTGCTCTTCAAATATAGTATCATTTTTGCATTTATTATTTTACTTTATAGTTTTATGACATTACTATTTTGAGTATTATAATTTATAATAACAGTACTAAATTCAATCATTTGTTGATTTTTTTTCATCAAATACGTCAAGCGTGAAGATTTATATTTAAAGTAATAAAAATAGTATTTTCAATTTATGCATTTGTTTTATTAAGTTATTAATTTCTGATTTTTTCCCTTCAAATATAGTAAAGTTTTTACATTTATTATTTTACTTTAAATGGATTACATTGCTATATTGAATATTGATTCTTGAGTATTACAATTTATAATAGTACTAAATTCAATCATCATTAATATTTTCATACAATAACTTTGATTTACAAAAAAGATCTGTAATCGCTATCTAAAAATTTACTCAATGCTACAATCAGGATTAGAAGATAACAACAACAACAACAACAACAACAACAATAATAATAAGTAATTTCAATTTTTAAAGTAAAACAATGTCTTTAGCGAGTTTTTTTTTTTTTTTTTTTTTGAATGTCTTTAGCGAGTTAATTAAAAATAAAGTCTATACATTTTTTCCAATATATTTTCAATTGTGCATGTTGCATAAGGTTTTCCTAGTATAGTTTACATATGCTATATATGTATTTTAGGGGTTATCATACATCAACGCTATTTAATAAGAGAAACCATCAATTAGTGATTGTTGATTTCTTTTGTCACAAAAGATAAAAAGGTTACCCTCAACAGATTTAATAATACAATAAATTTACTCGCATGAACAGCTCAACTGGTCATAGATGTGAAACGTTGGAAGAATAATACAATTAACTTTTTATTTCAAATCATACACAAATCACAAACCTGACCCAAGCCCAATAAAGCTTTTTTTTTTTTTTTTTTTTTTTTTTGAAAACCAAGCCCAATAAAGCTAGTTATTAACTTATTATACGTAGAGCCGTCAAAAATGAGTTTTACCCGTCAGGTCGACCCGTCCCGTACCGCCGTAGGTAGGGGACGGGTTCTTCAAATTTTGATCCGCCAGGAGGCGGGCTTTTTAGCCCGTCCCGCCTGGGTCACGGGTCC